AAAAAAATTGGATGTTTTTTGCTGTCCCGTACTGTAATTATTTTCACTTCCGGGCCCTTATTTGTAAATTCCCCAAAATTTAATGTCTTGGGTAATAACATGAAACCTTAAAATAGACCTAGCCGGCCTTTTTTTTTAAAATTTCATGTGTAAAATTTTATTTTTTACAAATCCACCCGGTTACCAAAAATTTTTTTAAAAATTTGACCCGGCCGGGTTATGAAAATCAATTAATTTTGTATGGCCTAATTGTAAAAATTATTAGTAGCATGTTTTTATTTTCGATATAAAATCTTAATATACCATTAAAATCACATAATAAACCCCAAAATTTGATCCCACACCCTGACTGGTCGATCATAGGATCTAAAAATTTATTCAAAATCTAGATTTTTTTTCCCGCTACGGTATTTTAATAAGGGCATAAGCCAATCGTATAATTTGCATGTGATATATAGAATACATGAAACCTGCAAAATTTCCGATTGAATTCCGTATAAATATAATCAAAATTTTTGAAAATGACGTTCCTTCCTTTCAACTGCTGCTACAGAGAAGCTAGCATATTCAGTCATGGTGGTATGTTGACAACAATTTTCCTTTTTTTTTTTTTTTTTTGAATAGTTGTCAGTCTTGGAAATATGGATCGCTGTTTGAAATTTAAACTGCAAGGATAATTATTCGATGGATGATTTATAGTTGCGGAACTCAGCATTAAAAAATTGATTAGATTATTTTAGATAATGCTCTAATTTTAAGAATAATAAAATTATTGTTACGCCTTCCTACTAACTTTGCCGGTAAAACGAGAATTGTGTTTTGTTGGGGCATGAATTCAAGAAAAAAAAAAAAAAAAAAAACCAAAACTCAACAATGACCTTAACAGTTAACCATAGATCTCCTTAATCCTACGCCCGAACATGAAAAACGTAAACATAAGCTTAAAAGGCTGGTGCAAAGTCCAAATTCCTACTTTATGGACGTAAAATGTCCAGGTAATGAATTATGAGAGTATACCACGATCAATATCAAATTTATTAATGCTAAATAATTAAAAACTCATAATAGGTTGTTTTAGCATCACGACTGTATTTAGTCACGCTCAGACAGTCGTATTATGTGGATCCTGCGCTAACGTTTTGTGCCAACCAACTGGTGGTCGTGCTCGTTTAACTGAAGGTTTTTATTAATAATAAATTTTCTAATTTCAATTCATATTTGATTATAATTTTTTTTTTTTTTGCCAATAATTAGGTTGTTCCTTCCGAAGAAAGATTGGTTAATTGTAGAGTTTAGAACCGGACCGTGTCACCCGTGTCAAAACGGTTCAACCGAGTCAAAAATTTACAACTCGGGTCAAAACGGTTGAATATGTAACCTCTAACACTCTGTTACTATTACACAGAAAACATAACAAAATTTTTGTTTTGTGAATAAACACCCTTTTTCTCTTACTAATTTATCTAAATATTCAATCCCATTAATCTGGATTTAAAAAAATGTTACAAATTTTGGAGGCTATACTGGGGTTCTGCATATCCTAATTAATCAAAATTATGTCAGGTACCATAATAAAATTATTATAGTGAGATTTTATGCATAAAATGGGATCGGCAAAATCGAAGGATATTTACTAGTAAAAGACTATACTCAATAAAATTGATTTACCTCGTGTATTAACCACTTCTTTCTAACAAATTTGTGGAGAACGATCAGCTAATATAACAAAAAAAAAGTTGCGGTTTTAGATTTTTAATTAATTAAGCACTTTCAAACTTTTCCTTAGTGGGAATTTCTCTTTTGTCATTGTTGCATGTGTTCTAACAAAAAAAAAAAAGCGTTTGTGATGAATTGGCCTTAGTTTATAAAAATTTAAAACCGTAACTTTGAAAAAATAGTGTTCATCATATTGTATATGAAGTTTTATTGTGGATTTTCAAGTTAGTTTTAGCGCTGAATCTTTTTAAGGCTTTGCTTTTGTTATTTTTATACTCTAACTAAAAAAAAAATACGCGTTGTGACGAATTGATCTTTGTAAATAAAAATTTAAAACTGTAGCTTCGAAATAATAATTTTTATTATATTATATCTTAAGTTTTATTGTAGGTTTTCAATAGGGTTGGGGGCACGGGGCACGAGGCATGCCTTTCGGGCATGCCTTTTTTCAAAAAAGTTATATATGTAAAAAGTTGTCATGTAAAAAATTTTGGGGGCATGCCTATAGGGCATGCCTCTAAATCAAAAAAACCAGAGGCATGCCCAT